CAGGAGCCTGTCGGGCCGTGCTGGCTGTCCAGGGGTTGTTCAGCCCTGGGGGGTACTCATAGTGCATCCCCCAAAGGGAGGCAGTGAGTGGGATCCTGTTTGCACTCAGTGCTGAGAGGTGCAAATGTGCTCGTCAGTCCTTTGCCTGCTGGTGTGTTGTTGGTTTTGATCTTGTTGCTGAGCGTTCTTGGTGCGTGTTTGTATTTTTATTGGTTTTTTTTCTCCTTTCAGATCATCCGGGAGCAAAGCAGGACAAGTCTGGGCCCCCGAAGGATCAACAGCTTTCAAGTGTCTCATCTCAGCCAGGTTCTGTGCAGCTCTGCTCAGCAATATCTCAGACTGTGATGAGACCTTTAACTACTGGGAACCTGTAAGTCTCTTCCCTTCCTGATAATTTGTAGTCGCCCTGTGCAAATGGAGATTTGTTTGGAGCCTGTTTCAAAGAGAAGTTTCTGTATTGAATTCACATAGAGGGTGGAAATCTGCTCTGTGTTCATGTATGTCTTTAATCTCCACTGCAGACACACTACCTCATTTATGGGAAGGGGTTTCAGACCTGGGAGTACTCCCCAGCCTATGCCATCCGCTCCTATGCCTACCTGTGGCTCCACGCCTTGCCAGCCTGGTTCCATGCCAGAGTTCTGCAGACCAACAAGGTAAATCACACCTGTGGGAGCTGCTTTCGTGAGCAGGAGCCACCCTTAGCCTGTGTGGAACTGCTGCTTTGCTTGTTGTCAGTATCAGGGGAGTTAGTAGTGTTTACAAACCTCTGTTCATTGACAACACTGAAGGACCTGAGAGGGTTTGTAAGTTTCCCCTGCTGCTTTCCAGCCATGTGTTCTGTGCCTTGGTCACACTCCCACTGTTTCTCCTAGGTTCTTATCTTCTACTTCCTGCGATGCTTCCTGGCCTTCCTGAGCTGCGTTTGTGAACTCTACTTCTACAAGTGAGTGTTAGGGTCTGTCTGCAGGGAATGTTTGGGAGCAGTGTGAGTAACACACACAGTTACTGCCACGGGGAACACTCTCTGCAGCTCATCTGTGGATGTGGTGTAGATGTGTGGATGTCTGGTAAATTGGGTTTCTTCACTCGAATATGTGTTCTCCTGGTAACTTAATGGATTATTGGTCAGAATTCCACAATCAGGACCAAATTGTCTTCTCAGCTCTGCCACCCACACCTCCATTCCAGCATTTTGCTGACTACACTCATTTCCTCATTGATAGCAGCAAGCACGGTGGGAGTGCTGTAGAGGAGGAGAGTCTGGTGCTGTGTTTGCTCATCACAGTGAATTTTACTGGAATACATTGCTTGTTGCTGTCTGTAATCTCTCTGCCAATGGTGTTTACAGCCACTAAAAGCAGTAGCCTTAACATACAATTATCTTGTCTAAGCTGGATTGTTATTTATACCTGCTGCCTCTTGGTTTGTGATTCTCCAGCTATTGCCTTGCATGACTTTTCTGTTGGCAATAGATTGACTGTGAGAACATGAGCTGTGGCTTTTTGCATGATGGGGATTTGTGAGGGGTGAGGATCTTAGCTCAGACTGATGTTGCTGCAGCAGTGCAGGCTCCTCAGGGTCCTGAAGTTTGCCCCAGCACCACTGGGAGAAGCCAAGTCTCTCCCAGAATTTGGCACTGGTGTAACTCAGGGATCTGAAATCCCAGGCCAGAGGCAGTCACTGCTCTTTGGGTTGCCTCCAGCAGCTGAGTCATGGGAATCACCCACCTTGGGGCTCTCAGGATGCTCCATGGGTTGTTTGTGGTTCTGCATGCGTTGGGGACTGTTCTTTGTGTGCTGAGGATATCTCTGTGGTGTCTGATTCTCTCTTGCTTCCTCAGGGCTGTGTGCAAGAAGTTTGGGCTGCATGTGAGTCGGCTGATGTTGGCCTTCTTAGTGCTCAGCACGGGGATGTTTTGTGCATCTGCAGGTAACATTTGCTTAGCAGTGACACCAGCAATGACTTTGGCCCTGGAAAGCAGAGGCAGGGCCAGAGAGCAGGAAAGCCACAGCTCTAACACACCTCTCTAGCACTGTCTGTTATGTCCTGCCGTAGGTGTTCCTCATGGCAGAATAAGCCTTGATTCAAGTTGTGTCCCCTGTGTCACTTTCTCTTATCTTTCCATTCCCAGAGCTTGTTTGTCTCTGTTGCTGCCTCCTGTCTCTGCAATGGGCTGTGCCTTTTAAACAGGCTCTTGGCCAACCTTCCTTGGACATACTTTAATCTAAGGAAGGAGGCTCAGATTCTGGCACTGTCATTTGCCTTTGTGCCCTGTTCCCTCTGTCTGGTTGTACCCAGCCACTGTGAGACCCACATAAAACACTTGCTGTAGGTGTGGGAAGGTTGTGCTAATCCCTCTCTCCCCTTTGTTGCAGCTTTCCTCCCGAGCAGTTTCTGCATGTACACCACAGTGATTGCCATGACTGGTTGGTACATGGACAAGACCTCTGTGGCAGTGCTGGGGGTGGCTGCTGGAGCTCTTCTGGGCTGGCCCTTCAGTGCAGCTCTGGGGTAAGCATAGCAAGGCTCAGGAGTTCTGCACTTTGTCAGATGGTTTTTGCCTGCTTGGGGAGAATGTAGGACAAAGCTAGCAGGGCCTGAGCTGCCAGCCTGGGCCAGGATCTTTGCTACAGCTTTCCACAGCCTCATTTCTTTGCTCCTGAGGAACTCAGGTTGGGGAGGTTTCCTGACACTAATATACTGTGAGAGTAAAACCTGAGTTGGATGTGGAATATGCAGTAGGAGCAGAGGCCAGTGAAGTGCTGGTTCTGCCCCACTTGCTTTGAAGGGGCAGGAGAACCTTCAGTGGGGAAAACCAAAGTCTCCAGTTGACATCTGGTCTCTATTTCAGGCTTCCTATTGCCTTTGATTTGTTGATACTGAAGCAGAGGTGGAAGAGTTTCCTGAACTGGTGTTTAGTGTCCTTGATCCTGTTTTTGGTAAGTGCCTGTAACAACACAGAGAGGGAATGGATTGGGCTTGGAACAGAAGGGATGACTTCCATTAGGGAGATCACGTGAAGCTTTTGTGCAGTCCAGCCAAAAGCTTCTGGCACTTGAGCTAACAGCTGCTTTCTTCCAGGTGCCCTTGGTAGTTGTGGACAGCTATTACTATGGGAAGCTGGTGGTTGCACCTCTCAACATTGTGTTATACAATGTCTTCACCCCTCACGGACCTGACCTCTATGGTGAGTGTAAGGTAACAAGTCACCAAGGGAGTTGGCAGTTTTCTTGCATCCATGACCCTCCAGGTCCTGATTTCCAATGCTTTTCCTGGTGTCCTCCTAAGCAAAAGCAGCCTGAAGCTCCCAGGGCTGCAGCTGCAGCTTCCTGACACGGGATGTCTCCCTCGAGCTGGGAATCCGCAGGCACTGCCGGAGTTGTGCTGCTTTGTTCACTTCCCAGTTCTGTACTCGGTCTCAGTGTCGCAGCAGAGAACGAGTCTGGGTTCTGAGCAAATGCAGGGGCACAAGGGATACAGTCTGTCAGCTTCAGTCGTGTTCCTGCTGCTGCTCCTCACAGGCTGCAGAACCTTGGGAAAGTGGGGAATGGTGCAGAATCCATAGTTCTTTGTGTCTCTGCAGACTTCCTGCAGAGTCTGTGCTGTGCCTTGGGGTTCCCCTTGGACTGGGCCTTGCAGGATCTGGAGTTGCCATAAGACATCTGATCTGCTGGGAAATCACCTGCCTGTGAGAGGTTCCTGATAACTCTGTGACCCAAATCCCAGCTCTGGGCCTTGAGGCAAAGCTGCCACTGCACTGAGTTGTCCATATCATGTACTTGTAGAGCTGAAGATTAGACAAGTATTGTGTTTCTGGCTGTGCCTCAGAGGGGCTGGCAGAGACCTCAGAGAGCTTAGGGTGCAGGGTCCTCATGTCATCTCTGTCCTCTGAGCCTGGTGAGCTCTCCAGGAGGGATTCAGTAGTGGTTGGCAGCAAGGCTTCCCCTGGCAGTGCCCTGCAGCCATCTCTGTTGGTTCATTTGAAGGGCTGTGCTGGGTGGTGTGAGTGGTGATTTGTTACTTGTGCTGTGGCCCAGCAGGACAGCAGCTGCTTTGCCATGGTTCTTCCTCTCTGCAGGAAGGCTCTGAAGTCTTGCTGTGAATTTTCTATAAGTGAACTCCAGGCTCTGTCTCTGATAGGTTTTGGCCTGGGCTTGTGCCTGACCTTTTCCACACTGGTGCATGAGTTGTTTCCAGAAGCCTCCAGGGTCCAATCTATTCTGAAGTGGTTTATTCATAGTGACATTCATATAACATCCTCAGGCTAGTAAAAGAGCCTGCTTGAAACTGCTCTTTAATGCAGTGTGGCCAGGACAACACTGTGTGTTGGGAGAGCTTCAAAACACTGGGGAGAAATAACACTCTGGGGGAGATGAAAGGCTGCCCACTGCCTCTTGGCTCTGCAGCTGGGATTTCCCAGCTTCCACATGATGGGAGCAGGAACTAGAGGTTGCAGAGTCACCAACTCATATCATCTTCCATGCAAGCACCACAGTATTTTGGAGACCAGGTTCACTTCACTCGTTTCTTTTGTCTTCAGCAATACACTCCATAAATACAGTCTGTGCAATTAATTCATCCCTGGAGTAATTAGGTTTCTACAGCCAAGGGAAAGAAGCTTCTCTGCACACATCCCTAGGGCTGGTCCTGAGGCTTTGGGATGTTTTGGGCTAAGAAGTCACAGTCTGTGAGCAAAGTTTTGTCCCACTGTGCGTGCTCAGAGCTTTGGCTGTGGCTTGCAGTGCAGTGGCACTTTGGGAAGCTTCAGCTTGGGCAGAGTGTGCTGGAGCTGTTTATGTGACACCTTACTCTGTTGGGTCCTGGCTCTTACACAGAGTGCAAAGAACTGAACTGCAGAAAGCAGGCTGGTTACTGTGCTAGCACTGAATCAGACTTGCTTAGGATGAAGGCTGTGACTCATGATCAAGTTATTGCAGCTCAGTTGCTGCTTAGCAGCTGAGCTGTGGTTCCTGTCTGCATGAGGCTGCAGTCTGGGAGCAGCACAGGGTGGGGAACCTCCAATTAAGCCTCTTTTCCAGCTCCTCTGCTTCAGCCTGAGCCTCCCCATTGCTGTGGGCAAGGGGCAGCTTGTTCACTTCCAGAACTTGTGTGGGAGTTTGACTTCTGGAGTTGCTCTGTTTCTTTTTCCTTTTCCTTGTTCCTTTTTCCTTGTTCTGTTTTCTTGCCCCTTTCCCCGTAGAAGGGTGACAGGATGGTCCCTGGCACTAGCCTTTAAACATTTGGGATGTATCTGTGATTGCTCTTTGCTTTCAGTGCTAACAACTACAGGTTTCCTGTATGACTTGCAGTCTGGCTTTGGCCTCGGTGCCTCCGTGCCACATTTGTGACACTGCTAGTGCAGCCTCTCACCACATTCAGCTGCAGGAGCTGCAGAGGTTTGGGACTTTCCTTGCTGCTTTCCCGTGTGTGATTGATTTCAACTCAGCCCCTGCCTGAGTGTCTCTGATTGCAGGAAATTGCTGCGTGTGACACATGTCACAACAGTCAGTGATTACAGCCCCCGCATGTCACCCACTGACTGATAGAGCTAATCACACCCAGAGAGTGGGAGATGTGTGCAGAGGAACTGCCAGGTCTTGTTGGGAAGGATTTGAAGCATCCTGAATTGAGAGTCCAAATAAATGACAGTTGGGCTGGAATTTCTTTCCCTTTCCATCCTTTGGAGCTTGCAGCAGGCCCCAAGTGTGTCCTGCTGGGAGCAGAGCTGCCTTGCCCCTGGCTGGAGCTGCACTGCAGAGCAGACTGAAGTAGGGGCATGTCAAACAGTGCTGGTTCTGAGGAGGTACCAAAAGCAGCATTGGCTGAGCTTCAGTGGCAGAGGCTGTTGGGGCGAGGTGGGAATGCAAACTCCTTTGCTTCTTAATCCTTTTTAGTACATTTTCTGTTTCTGCCAACACAGAGTTGTACATCAGCACTCCAGGAGTACATTAACACTGTGTGGTTTGGTGTTATTCCTCTGTCACTTCTCTGCAATTAGGAAGAATTAATCTGGAGTCAAGTTTTCTCCTCCTCTTGCTGTGGAGTCTCTCTGAATGCAAGGGTGAGCCCTGTGTCACAGGCATAGCCTGGCTGCAGGGTGGCCTGTGGTTCAGGAGCAGCAGATGTGATATTGACTGTGATTCACAGGGGGAAAAATAAGGAGAAAAGTAGTTTTTGAAAAGGAATTATTAGTATGACAATGGGTTTTCCTGGTCTGGTCTGTTGTGAGATGCTCTGGTGCCTTTGTATGGCTGTTGACTATGCCAGGCAGAGAGGGCACAAAGCTGCTGTTATACCTAGATGTCACACGTGAATGTATTTAAACCCCCTTGTTTCCTCTCTCTCACCCCTCAGGTACAGAGCCCTGGACCTTCTATTTCATCAATGGCTTTCTGAATTTCAATGTGGCATTTATTCTGGCTCTGCTTGTGCTGCCCCTGACTTACCTCATGGAGTGTCTGCTGCAGAAATTTCATGGTGAGTGCAGGACAGCTGGGAGAGCCAAGCACGGGCAGGTCTCAGCCCTGTTACAAAAGGGAGTGTTTGCCTGCCAAAGAGCAGCTTTCCTTTATTGGAAGTGAAACTGGGTTCAGAGAAAGTCTTTGGAGTAAGAGGAAAGTTCCTAGAGCTCCTTACTCAGCTCAAGAACAATGTGTGGTCAAGGCTGAACTCATCCATACCCAGAACAAGCTTAGCAAGGTGTGAGGTGCCTAACCCTCAGTCAGACAGGCCAATGCTTTGGGAAGTGTCCCCATGGGTGTGGATATACTGGGAGTAGCAAAAGGAGGAACCAGAACATTCCCTGCTTCATGCTGGGCTTTTTCTGAAGTAAAATGACATCAGTTTAAACACATGACAATTTGGTAAGTGATTCTGGAGAGGAAGTGTGAATTCTTCTCTGCTGTTTTCCTAAGGAAGATTCATTAAGTGTCAGCAGCAGCCTCCAGATTGATCAGTCCAGTTAGTGCTTTGCTCTCCCTCTGATTTTTTTACTGAATAGGAGAAACAATAGCATCACAATCCTCAATGAAAATGTATGTTAATGGGTGTTTGCTTATGTCTTATATCTGTTCCTTGGCTGTGACTGACAGACTGTCAGAAACCAGTAAAAGCTCAGTAGGAGATGCTGTAAATGCAAGGTTTCCTGCTGTTCACTTGGTGTTCTTGTGCTGAACAGCAGGAGCAATTCTGCCAAGTGCTTTGTTCCTATTGTCAGTGAAATGCCTCAGCTTAATTGCTTAACTCTGCTGTTGGGAGTAGTAAGGGGGCAGAGAAGGGGCTGAAAATCGTCAAGCAGTGGAGAACCCTCCTCAGTGTGACTAAAATTCAGGGTAATTGTTGTTATTTTTGAATCAGTTATTTCCTCTCTTAAGCAGAAGGTGCCTGAGAGACCTCTCGTGCTGTTATTTCTGTCAGGAGGCAATGAAGGTTGTGGAAACTTCAGTCACTAAACAGCCCTTTGTACGAGGAAGGATAGATCCAGGGGAGATCCCTTCTGATCTTTGTGTGTGCAACACACAGCAGGAAATCTGGTGCTTCTGACTGTTTAGACGTGTCAGTTCTTGATGGGTTTTGTCTACATTCAGTAACACAGTCCCTGGTGTTCTGCTTTTGGGCTTCTAAAGCCTGTGGAAATTGTTAGTGTTGTAAGGAATCAACAAAACTTCTCTGATCAAAGTTGCATGCTGACTGCCTGGATTTGTCACCTGGATTTGTCAGCTCAGCTGCTCAGAACGTGGTGTGTTTGTGTCTGCAGGCAGTGCTTGGGTCTGGCAATGGGCTTTGAGTGGGAGAGGGAGGAGGATAACCCCCTCATTCTCACACTGCTGCTTGCTGAGGGTTTGTTTCTCCAGTCCAGAACCTGGGCCGGCCCTACTGGCTCACACTGGCTCCTATGTACATTTGGATCATGATTTTCTTCACTCAACCTCACAAAGAAGAGAGGTTCCTCTTTCCCATCTATCCCCTCATCTGCCTCTGCAGTGCTGTGGCTCTCTCTGCTCTCCAGGTGAGCTTTAGTGGAAGATGTGCTTTTTCATGACCTTGGCTGAAGAGATGAGAGTTTGAGGAGTTTGATGTTGTCTCTGTTTTCATCTCCCCATAGAAATGTTACCACTTCGTCTTCCAGCGCTACCGCCTGGAGCACTACACTGTGTCCTCCAACTGGTTGGCTCTGGGCACTGTCTTCCTCTTCGGCCTTTTGTCACTCTCACGCTCTGTTGCCTTATTCAGAGGTTGGTATTGCAGAGTTCTTCTCTGCTTTCCTGGGTACTGGGCTTGGCAAGCCTCAGAGTCGTGCTGCTTTGATTAGAGACGTCAGCAGCCTTCAGAGTTTGGATGTTATTGCTGCAGGGAGAGGAAAGGGTTCTAATGATCACCAGGATTATATCGTAGTCTATGAAACATCACCTCTTTCTTTGTCTGTTTTCAACTTTGTGCCTTCCCTAGGCTACCACGGGCCCCTGGACCTGTACCCAGAGTTCCACAGGATTGCCACTGACCCCAGTATCCACACGGTGCCCGAGGGGAGGCCGGTGAATGTCTGCGTGGGGAAGGAGTGGCACAGGTTTCCAAGCAGCTTTCTCCTACCAGAGAAGTAAGTGGCTTCCTGTAGAAGGCGTAATTGGGTGGGATTGATAAGGAGTACTCCTAAGAAGTGTGTATGGGAGTAACCTTCAGGATCTCTGTTGGCACCAGCACTTTCAGGACAATGGGTTCAAGTTGGTTGTCAGCAGATGATACTGGCCACAAGGTACTGAGCTGTGTAGTGTGACTGCTCCGCTAGCAGGACTGCTCACCTTTAGGAGTGAGGTAGATATCCTTGGTTGTGCTTGTGGTGTTCTCCCCACAAAAGGTCTGAGGAGTCCTGTTTAAGGAGAGACTGTTGGTGGCACTCGGTGCCGTGGCCTGGTTGCCATGGTGGTGGTCACAGGTTGGACTCAGTGGTCTGAGAGATCTTTTCCAACCTGATTGACTCTGTGGCTCTGTGCACACGTTACTGGCTGCTCTGTTCTCCTGCTGTTCCCTCTGACCCTGCTCTCTGCAGTTGGCAGCTCCAGTTCATCCTGTCGGAATTCCGGGGGCAGTTACCAAAGCCATTTGCCAAGGGACCAATGGCCACACGGATCATTCCCTCTGACATGAATGACCAGAACAAGGAGGAGCCATCTCGATATGTAAGGACTCTGTCCATGTCTCTTACCTACCTACCTATCTCTGTCTCTGTCTCCTGTTCTTTCCTTGCCTTCCAGTATAACTGGAGTTAATACAATGAGTGTCCTCACTTTGTTTCTATGTATAGAAACCATTTCACCATATGGTGAATATATATACACCTTCTAAATATGTATACATTCTATACATAGTGTATATACACACTGGAGTCATTCACATCACCACATGGTGATATATATATATATACACACTATATATAATACATAGTATATATAGTGCAT